TGTTCAACCTAATCGTTTTCATGTACATCTAACTCTAAGAATACCCTCACATTAATCAAATCTCATCACCTGATTCTTGAGCTTGTTAAGCTCTTTTTATCGCTTCCATTGAAGAATTTTATCTCACCAGAAAAATAAATCAAAATTATTTGAAATAGATTATATGAATACTGAAATATAAAGATATATCCTAAAGTAAATAAAAGGCAATCGGAGAGAATGTTTTAAAATTAAGGTCGATGAATATTAAAAAAAGGTCAAGGAGTTTGAAAGAAAATTTATAAAAATTAAACAACCGCCAAAGATAAAGTAGAATGAAACAATAATAAGGAATAAATTTAGTGTAGAACAATCAATATCTAATGAACAGCCGGTGTTACGGCTGTACACATTTTTACCTTTTTTTGACTGAACATGCCGAACTCTGATATTATATACTGAAAATGTTCTTTTTGAAAATGACAGATGTATGGTTAGGGAAAGATAGAGCAGAGTTGCTTACGAATGATTATTATTGTTATTACCTCAGTTCTGAGTGGAACATTCAACTTTAACAACACATCCCCAGTTTCTTCTATTTTCTGCTATCCTCTTCAACTGATTAGCCACATGACTACTCATAATCTCTCATCTCCTCCAACTCGCGCTATCTTCTCCATGTCACCGTCATACCGTCGACCCACTCATCGCTTCTATTGGGATTCCACTCAAGTGATGGCCTGCATTGCGCGTGATCTCATTCGGCGTCCTACTCAACGTATGCTGGATCCATCTCCATTTTCTCCTACGTATTTGTTGGGCAGTCGGCTCTTGGTTCGTTTTTTCCCAGCCAGAGTTTCTTGTTGTTAATTCTCTCCAGCCATTTAATCTTCACTATGGAGTCAGCGAAGGTGACAGCTGTTGATGAAAGTCTGCACTAGCCTGTTGGAAATCCTTTTCCTGATAGGCAGTGCAAGATTCTGACCAGCATAGAAGGACCGACTTGACATTGGTGTTGAAAATCTAGATGAATGAGAGCAGGAGGTTTCCAGACCGGTTTCCGGTTGATTAAGCTGTATCCAGCCTTTGTGATTCTGGCCGGCTTTGATATCTTCATCCTTTCTCGCTGCCTCTGGTTGAAACGGTGCTTCCTAGATAAGTGAAGGAGGCAACCTCTATCAAATCTCTCCTGTTATTGATGACTGGTGCTAGTTGTTGTTGTTGTTGTTCAATTTCATTGGTTATCTTCATCACCTCCACCTTCTGTATGTTCACCTGGAGTCCTGCCTACGCTGCCAGCTTCTTCAGCTAGATTTTTGGTTTTCGCCTGTAAGTCTTCGAGTTTGTGTGACATTAAACTTAACTCATCTGCAAAATACAGATCTTCTAGGGTCTTCTCATCAGGGGCCCAGCATACTTCTGTCTTCTAACTCCCAGTGCACAATTTGACGCATAAACCAGTCCACCACAATTAGGAATATCATAGGTGATAATAAGCAAGCAGCATTGCGATTCGAACGCCTCGCTGAGTTTTCTGTTGTAGATCACCACCACCTGAAAGATGGCATTTTCATACAGCCAGCTGTTGAATGAGCTTGATAAAGATTTGGGCACTGCAGCCATAGTGTTGAAGAAATTTCCAAATTACTTCTCGGTCAACGCTCTCTGGTGAAGGCCTTTTCGAAGTTGATGAAGTTGGGGTAGAGGAAAGTTTGACTGCCATTCTATGCTTTATTCCGTGATGACGATGCGTAGAATTGCAATTTGATCAGCACATGTATTGCCTTTCCTGTATCGAGATTGTACTGGTTGGTAGGTCGGAGGTCTGCATCCAGTGCACCTTTTATTCTCTCCAGGATGATGCGACTTGACATTTTACTTGGAATGGACAAGGGCATTATTCCACTCCAATTGTTGCAGAGGTGTAAGTCGCCCTTCTTCCAATCGGTAGTCACCTTTCCCTGTTTCCAAACCTTTTGCAGTAATGGAGTGAGAACGTCTGCCATAATCTCTAGGGCCGTCTTCAATGCTTCCGAGTGAGGTGGGGATTCCGCCTGGGCCTGCTTACTTCCCGACTGGATTTCAGTAGTTTTATCGCATTTAGCATTTCTGCTTTCATAGAAGGACTTGTGTCTACTGGCAGGCAGTTCTTTGCATGCTGTTGGTGGTGGTTGATTCAAGAGTCCTTTAAAGTGATCATCTCATTGTTTTATTTGTTTCTTCTCCTTGGTAGTTAGGCTATCTTGAGCATCTGAATGATAACTTCCCAAATAGAGACAAATGATTGCTTTAAGGAAACTAAGTATCATTTTGAAATTACTTTGTATATTTCAAGTGTGTCTGCCTTTTAATCTTCAGAAAATCATAATCAGTTCAATATTTGTTATTACTGAAACTGAAGATATAAGAAGCTATTGATTAGTAAAGTTTACTGAGTGTGAAGTAAGAATATTGGGTAGCTACTAGGATACACCCCTAGTTGTCAAACGTTTGAAATTACATATCACTGGATTATAAATCACTGACAGAGTGACAAAATTACTTTCTCAAAACTGACTCTTCTTGGCCTAATAAACTCTGGGGTTTTCTGGGGTTACAAAATTCTCTGTGATTTTAAGGTACATTTCGTCACAGATTGACAAGAATGACAGAAATACTGAAACCCAAGAATGTGCAATTCACACAGACTGGTACTTTTTAGAATACAGTTTTACAAAACTGGTTGAAATTCATGAGTGGAAAGTCTGAATCTCCAGTCAATCTTAGTATCCACAAGTTGTTGTAGATAGAACACTTAAATATCTACAAAAGGTTTTCAAACAATTTTTATGAATAAGAAATTTTCATATGAACTGTGATCAAGATTTGACCGATTAGTTTCAAAATAACTGGGCACTGAGCGAGAAGTAGAAATTTGTGAAAATTATATTTGTAAAATTTGAGTGAAATTCAAATGAGTAATACCAGCGTTTCATTCGGCAAACTGGTTCGAACTTCTTCAGGGGGAATTAATCGAAGTTAGCATAACATAGGTTTTTATATAACAAGGAAATCTTTTGTTTTCAAAACTTTGTCCAATCACATGAGTTATGAAACAGGTATCAATATGTATAATAAACATTTTATGAGCCGTGATCAAAATTTGACCCCAAACTTATAAATATTACTAGTTGATCACGGATTGTTATCAGTTAGTCTACTTTTGTTAAACACTTTAAACAAAGTATACTTTTGAATAAGGCATTTAGAAAACAAATTTCGTGAGATAATATCATTTCGTAGTTTCTTTACAATCGCATTACAACTAACATGGTTAACAATAATTAAATAAAGTTCATGACAATTACTCAGTTATATAAAAACAAAAGTACATACTAATGACCAATCATATTTAAATAGGTCAAGTAGCCCATGGTAGGCGAAGGCTGAAGTCTGTTGTGTTTTGTGCACACAGTTCAGGCTGTATGTGATTAATCCAAAGTGCTTCCATCACCTTCACTAACTAGCCTTGAATTAGAGTTATGTGAAATAATTGTGAAACAGTCATTAATATTGATTTTGTGACCTGACATTAATAAGTGTTTTGCAATGGATGATGCTGGATTTCTATTCAGTTTAATCGCATTACGATTTTCTATATGATCTAGTAGCCATTTCGAAACATGTTCTTTTTGATGACATTGGAACACTGTATTGGTTTCACCTATATAGGTGTCACTGCAGCTACAGGTGAACTTGTAGATACAGTTTGAAGTAGAGTCCACAGAATTTTGTCCTTTAATCGTAGGTACAGGGATCGGAAATGTCTCGCATGTGAGAAAAAGAGATTTAGCGTAGAATGTCTGTTTGATGGCTGACTGAAGTCTTTGTACTGTCAACTGCATAATCTGGTCCCCCTTGAATGGTGGGTTAATAAAGATAGCTTTCTTTAGTACATAAGCTGTCTTTTCGAGATGTGGTCTATCCTTACTGTGACAAGTGATAACGTTTTCTGGATAACCATTAGCTAATAAAACTGAATGTATATTTCGAAGCTCATCCATCACTGTGTCAATTGTGCACATTTTCGGGCCCTTGAGAGAAAAAATTCACTAGGGAACGTTTATACTGGATAGGAACAAAACTGGTGAAATAAAGATATTGTCCACTGTTTACGAAAAATGGATTGCTGAATCGTTCCATCATCTCTCCTGGTCATTGTAAGTGTACTTTCCATTAGAATTATAGTGATTACGTTTGACTAAAAGTTCATGGTCGTAGATAACTGAATATGAAAAATAGATATATGTGTATATGCGGTGTACAATGGTGTATGTGTGCATGTGTGATGGGTAAACAGTTGTAAATTATTTGTTAGCCTTTTCATAAGAAGATATAAACTATTGGGAATTTAGACGAAGTATGATTAATTAGTGATACATATCCATTTTTATTTACTAATCAGGACTTGCCATGAATCAGCTAACATCATTCCATCATGTCTGTTCAAACTGTTGGGATTCACCCATTTATGTATGGCTTCTGCAGTCAGTCTTTCTTTATATGAACCGAAACCTTTCTGTAGAACCATAGTTGTATCACAGTCGATCTTGTGTCCCTTTCCTATCGGGTTCAGTGCAATAGCTAATGTGTTTTCTAGCTTCTTTAAGTTTGCAGAACCACCTTTAGACATTGTTTATGCTCTTTGACTTTTATATTTACCTATCTGGAAGTTTCTTCTACATACATGGCATCACAATTCCCCCAATATGGCTGGTACACTCAATTCTGTTGGTTGTCTTCTTCTATTTTGTCCTTTACCTTCACTAGTGATGAGCGTAAGGTGTTAGTTGCATGAAAGTACACCCTTATGTCATAATTGCTAAGGATTTTATTTTCAGAAAGTATTGAACATGAAGTTAACATTAATAGATTGCTTATTATATAAATCCTCGAGAGCTACAAGTTTATTTGTCGCAATTTTCAAAGTAAACAAATTAGATTTTAGGAAAATTGATCACCTTATTTTTTTCATATTTTAGAAAATATTTAGGTGCTTACCCAACGTTCATTACATCATTAATATTAATTGGACTACAGACTGCATTAGTTGAAGAGGTGAGTCTAACTATCTACGGGTTTATTCGATTGAAAAGATATTAATTGTAAACAGTTATGGAAGCTTTCATCATGAAATGACATCAGTTAGAACACCATTGGAAAACCTGCTGGGAGTATTAGACAGGTACTTCCTCCGTCCGTGTTTGGAATTATTCACCAGCACGCAACCACACTGTGGGGTTCGAACCCAGGACCTTCTGGTTATAAGGCTATCGAGCTCGTAGAACTTTCAGCTACTGGTACTCGATCCACTGGCCAGCCCATGAACTGTAAATTCTGCCAATTCATGAAATAACGGGACCGCTTCGAAATCTCTTTTTCGTTGAGTCACCGCCTCACCTCTAACCTGCTCTACGCTTCTGTTCACGGCTTGCTACTAACACCCTGGGTGACTGTTTGAATAGAGCCAGTAGCTAGTGAGCATCAGATCAATTTTCAAGAATTGGTTTCTGTGCGGCCTTTGTTTGATTGGTTGGAGAATTTCATCACGAGCTGACATCAGTTAGAGGACCATTGGAAAACCTGAAAGTCCTGGATAGCTGTTTCGTCAGACTAGTTTGGGACTCTTCACAGTTCGCACTCATACTTCGAACCCAGGATCTTCTGGTTACAAGACGAGATCATAGACCATGAAATCCTCCAACCAATAAAAAAATCCCTATAAAAACCAATACTTGAAAGTGATGGAAGAATCAACTATTTTTTAGATGTATTCTTTATCACATCCAATGAAAAACAACTAAAATAGACAGGCATAGGTGTTATACCCAAAAACAAACAAAACATGAAAGTCACTTCCATGAAGTTACAGTGTAACACTTATAATAGACTTCACCTTCCCTATTACTAGTAATTTAAATATATATATATATAATTAGAAGATACCATGGCAACGTCTTTCAGCTACTTCTGGCACGTACACCTGGCAGAAAGACTTTTCACAATTCCCTCTGATTTCAAAAATTCCATCTGTTACCTCATATTACCAACATTCATTTGAAGTATTTCTACGTAATTCTTTAAATTCAAACCAGAGGTGTTTAGTTATCAAAAGAGAGTATTTTACTATGGTTTGTTATATTGCTATTATCAATGTATGAGATTTAGCTCAAAATAAATTCTAAGCTTCCAAATAAAAGTGGGGATAAGGTGTATTTTGCAGAGCACGAAACACAGTAAAACTGTGTCATTCAAAGTCTTCACTGTCAAATTCTCCAAAAACATGCGTTTTGTTTAATTAAGTAACTTTTTCAAGTTTAACCACGGATTAATATCAGTCAGAGAAACATTGAAAACCAACAAGGAGTACTCGAAAGCTGTTTCATCATTGTTTGGGACTCATCATTACAACGCACCCGAAGTTTCCTGTTTTGAGAGGTGGTGACTGGTGAGGTCCATCTAGTTGGCAGTGAGGATAGATTTCCCACCAGTGACATTGGTTGGTAGTCGCACTAAAATCTTGAATCGGTAGAATTCGGAATTCATGGGCTGGCCATTGAATCGGGTCTCAGTCTCTGAATGGTATGAGGAAAGGTTCCGGGTTCGAACCCTTTTGGTGGTTGGTATGTACTGCCAATGATTCTTAAACTAGGATGGAGAGAACAACTGTCGAGTACGCCTTACTGGTTTCGAATGTTTCTCTAACTGATACCAATGCGTGGTCAAACTCGAGAAGCAAATGAAGTGCTTACAAACAAACTCTTGAAATTATCTTTTTATTAATTACTAATATACTGAAAAGCCGTTTTCTAATAGAAGAACTTTGGTGGTCTGTTGAACAGTTACGCTTTCTATAAAAACGATACGATTTCCAGGACTTCGTGAGATAGCTTCATGAATTTTACATCACCTATCAACCAACAGGTACGAATAATCCTGAAAATGTAGAAGACAAGCTTTATTACAGAAGTTCATACTTTATCTACAGCTGAAGAATATCTTTTAACATTCCAGTCTGTTTCCTTCTGCATATTGTACAAGTTGAGTAGGCAGTGAGGGCTTATTCATATACATATTATATGAAGCACTTGAGTAAGGCACAGTATGATATGGAGTTTCACAGTAGTTTCAATGAGAAATCAAAAATATTCATACCATAAAAGGAATAATGGTAAGATAACGTAAATGAAAGTTTTTGTGATTCACAGTACTTTTTGATATGTCTCGTTCAGAAATCAACACATAAAAGATAAGTGTAACTATTTAGACCAAGCTAATGTAAGCCATAGATCACCATTCAGGTATTTCGTAGCATATCCAAATTAAAGCAGCACAATAAGCCTCATCATTACAGGAGCTGACTTGACACCACTCACATCGCAGTTTCCGTACTTTGTCCACATTTAATAAGATGTTTCTTCTCTACGTTTCAGTTGTCTAATTTATTGGGTTGTACAGCAGGAATAAAAACTGCTGTTACTGGTATCAGTTTGGTTGCATTAGGTACATCATTACCTGATGTATTTGTCAGTAGGACTGCTGCTATCTGTGATAAAAATGCTGACAACAGTATTGGCAATATTACAGGTTAGTGACTTGTTCTTATTTGCAAAGATTTGCTTATTACCTTATTGAGTTAATTCAAGTATTTCTAACAGATTTGCTTAGATTGCAATGGTTAACAGATACATTAGTACAGCACGTTTATTCATGGTGTAATGTATACGTGCAATCTAATTATGAATATAAGTTTTTTACTCACGGGTTCACGTTTGGAGTGGGTTACCAGACCACATGAGTGGTTGGCGAGTGTTATCTCACACTACGAATATAATTAAAAGTTAATAACTTTCTGTTCACCAACAGAAATCTAATTCAACTGCCTACAAGTACCTGAGAAGAGAAAAATTTTTCTGCTTAAACTCCTAGATGAATAAAATTCAATCATAAGGTAGAATCTCCATGGATAAATAATTATTGCTTCGCTTTTCTACGCCTAAAGTCATCAGCATCACACTCGCAGTAGTTGGTTCTCTAACTGACATTAATCCGTAACCAACTCGTAAAAACAAAACTAATCCTTAAAAAACAACTTTAGAAAATTATTCTGATGCTCGCTATTGACTTGCGACAGGACGAAATTGACTGGAGTTGTGGTGAGAAGTCGTGACCAATGAGACCCATCCAGTCAAGTGTGAAGATGGATGTCCCACCAACGCGCTAAATCAAGAATTGTAAGAAGTTAGAATTCATGCGCTGGCCATTGAATCGCGTCTCACTGACTGAAGGCCGTAAGTTCGAACCCTTTTGGTGGTGGGCGCGTACTGCCGATGATTTCTAAATGTGGTTTTTGCTGACGCTTCGCTATTTAATGCTTATAGCAAATGCTAATAACATATCTATATTCAGGAATAAAATCCACTAAAACAAACATTTAGACTTCAGATTATCACACCCCATCAGCGCAAGGATTTCATTTGTTTCAAGTCTTCTTAGACGATCACACTCTGATAAATGATGAGAAAGAAAAAGAAGGAGAAATATAAAACATTACTGAGACTCTCATGCAAAATAACTATCCAAAGAACTTCATCAACAAAATCAACATTGACATTAAATACGGTCGAATACGTATTGAGAAGACATGGACATCGACAGTTGTCATTCCATATAGATAAGAGACGTCAGACGATATCAGAAGAGTACTCAGTGAGCATGAAATCAGATTTTTCTTCAAAACATCAGACACACACATTACAGAGCAACCTTGTCCATGCAAAAGATCAAACCCCTGAGGATACTCAATCCAATTGTGTCTATAAAAATATTTGGAATGTGATGCGATATACAAGAATTCAAGATCAGAAGAAGTGAACACCCGTAGGGCATCTGTTCGACCACCGAGAAATCCAGTTAGTGAACTACAAGAGCTTGAAAAGTCATCAACCATAGCCTGTCTACACGCTATAGATTCAGGCCACAAAATTGATTTTGACAATATTGAAATAATCCAGAAGAATTTCAGAGATCACAAAGAGCGTCTAATATCATCGGAAGTACATCATATAAAATGAAATCCAAATTGTTTGAATAGGAATAATGGACTAAAACAAAATTTGACCTGGTTACATCACCTCTCTCCCTGATGAAATGATAAAATCAACACGAATGTGATAAGCAATTTCATTATGTAAACGCTTCCTGCTTTTATAATTTTACACACTTATCAAATCTAACAATCTACATCTGATTTTTTTTATCTTTACCAACTGGCCAACTTGACAAACACGTGAAAATGCCACCATGCTGATGAACGAAGATGAAGTTGTCATATATAAGCTGAGATTTGTAAATTCTGGTTTAGAGCGAACAATTGTTTTCAAAAAATTCTTCCTCCATCAGCCTCTACAATTATAAATCCATTAATGTAAGCATACAATAGCCAGTAAAGGCAAATTAGAATCATATCAGAAAGTGTATTGTGGAACAAGTATAAGATGGGATGAAACAATTGTCAGATAGTTTTTCTCTAAATTAATATGTATGGTCAATGAGAACATAGGACAAAATGAGATGAAGTAATTTAATTTAATGATGTGTGTATATATATAAATATAGTTAACAGAAAATACAGGTTTCAAGAGTGAGTGTAATCAGGGTGTGTGAGGCAATATGAAAATAAACCAACGAATGGGGCGGTCTAGACTTAAGTTCAAGGTTGAAAATAACAACAATAAGAATGATTGTAAAATAATAACGATGATATGGTGTAAAATTAAAATTAAATGTATTATTGGTGAATGATTGTCAAATAATAATAATAATAATGAATATAATGAAGTGGAATGAACAGGATTTTGTAAATACGATAGCAAGTTAGAAAAGCACTATTTAAACCAAGGGTTTCATTGACAAACGTTCATTTTCGACTTTTATGATTTCATGACCTTTGTTATGATTTTATTACCTTAGGTTTAAATAGTGCGTTTCTAACTTGCTATCGTATTTACAAAATCCTGTTCATTCCACTTCATTATATTCATTATTATTATTATTTGACAATCATCCACTGACAGTGCTTCTAATTTTACACCATATCATCGTTATTATTTTACAATCATTCTTATTGTTGTTATTTTCAACCTTGAACTTATATCTAGACCGCCCCATTCGTTGGTTCATTTTCATATTGCCTCACACACCCTGATGATTACACTCACTCTTGAAACCTGTATTTTCTGTTAACTATATTTATATATACACACATTAAATTAAATTACTTCATCTCATTTTGTCCTATGTTCTCATTGACCATGCATATTAATTTAGAGAAAAACTATCTGACAATTGTTTCATCCCATCTTATACTTGTTCCACAATACACTTTCTGATATGATTCTAATTCGCCTTTACTGGCTATTGTATGCTTACATTAATGGATTTATAATTGTAGAGGCTGATGGAGGAAGAATTTTTTGAAAACAATTATTCGCTCTAAATATTTTGTTCTGAATAAATTATGGGAATATTTAATTTACTAAATTCTGGTTTAATAATATTTAGATAAAGCTACTAGAAGCATTAAATAGCGAAATGTCAATAAAAAACAATAATGTTTTGTTTTTCATTCATTGGAAAATACAAAAAACAACCTTTCTTATAATGAATATCATATACCCAATGACCAAATGTTTTCAAACTGTTAAACGTGAACTTCATTTAGACATATATAAAAGTTTGAAGTATATAGTGTTATAGTGTTCATTTAGGAGGAATGCCTTACTCAGTATGCCTTTTTTTCTTCTTCTTTTTCTTTCCTGGATAACTCATTAGGTTCCAATAGTGTTAATGTATTTTTAGGTGTTGGACTGCCATGGTTAATTAGTGCAATAAATGCAAAAGTCAAGGGGAAACAGTATTGTATTTCATCAGAGAATATTTTAGAAGCAATATCTTTCTACTTAATTTGTGCTTTTTTATGTTTAGGAATGCTGATAATTCGTAGAAAGGTAAATCTCTTTATATTTTGTAATTTTGTATATTTCGAATGATAATTATGATAAAACAATAAGAATACATAATTCGTCTGAATTGTGTAATGTGCATTTGCGCAACACATTTTGAACAATCTGATCATACACGGGCTTGTCATAGGAATATATGTGAAATTAATAAAGAGTTAAGAGGTCAGTATAATAGAACATATTGAAGGTCAAAATAACAATGAAGATCAGAAATAATAGTACATCTGCTGTGGTATCAAAATTCATTGATCTCTACAAGTAAGGGCTTCAGAGCATATTCCTAAATAGCTCCAGAAACAAATGGAATCTTCAGAACCCATTAGTGGTGAGAACAGGAGACCTAGCTCCTCCATTGTGAAACATATTATAGAGACAGGACATAGAATTGACATTAACACATCTTTTAAACCTATCTATAAAAAAGTGTTCGAGGCGTATCTTAAAGTTTGTGGAAGCCCTACCAATTAGTAAGTTTAAGCCACTTTCATGAGTTCAAAAACATCATCACATTAAACCTTCCTTGGTAAACTTTTTTTTGATACCATAACATATGTACCATTATCTCTGCTATATGGTTTGGTGGTCTTCATTGTTATTTTGACTTTCAACATGTCCATTACATTGACCTAAGTCTGTTTTTTCACCTCTAAGTCTTTATTAATTCCACATATATTCCTATGTGATCAGATTGTTCGAAATGTGTTGCGCAAATGCACATTACACGATTTAGACGAATTACGTATTCTTATTGCTTTATCGAAATTCATAAAGGGAACTAATTGTTTTAAAAATGATAATTATGCTTGACTTTTATAATCTTTTGTAATCTGGTTAACAAACGCAGTTTCACAGTGTGTACTCCCAATCTCCTGTGTGTATGGACCATTGCTTTTGACCTTTCTTTTAAGTGATCGAGCAACATGCATCGACATTAAGGACTGTAAGGATAAAATGGAGGTATCACTTTGTTAGAAAGCCTGTATAACTTCCCGGCTTCGTAGCTCAGTCGGTTGCAGAATCGTGTTAATAACGCGGATGTCAAATGTTTGGTCTACTCCGGAGGAAGAGAACGTGGTACACCAGAGCAGAGGGCTGTTGAGTGATTGAGCCACATGATTATACTGTATGTTCTTCTAGTCTCACAAAGAATTGCGATGAATTAGCCCGGTCATCCTGAAAACTAGTGTATAATTAGGCAACCAGTGGGTTTTCCATTGTGTGAACAGTCCACTAGAACTTTCGTACGCCAGTGGTTTAGTCATAAAATGCACGCCAACCAATCACGTTGTTTAGCGTTTGATTCCGAGTCGGATTACAACTAACAAGTCCGGTAAAAAGAGGCTAGATTGGGCGTTGAGCTGGTATTCTCAACCCGTAAAAAGTAGGCACCACTGCTACTGAAACCTCAGACCTCAAGCTTGCGGTCCTACTCTCCACTCAGAAAGCTACAGGATGCAGGAAATTTCTGAAAATATTCTTTTACATTCTGTGAAACCAATTTTAGAATATCTCCGATTGCTGTCACTTTACTCAAAAATATTAATGATAATGTTAAATAACTGTGACCCAGATAATAATGAAAAAAAATTTTAAATGCTCATAGACGGAGACACCTGAAATTTGATTATATACAGGTAAATAAGTTTGTACATCCATTTTGATTACAGTAACATAAATAAGATCCGTCGTTGACTACAAATGCATCCAAAAAAATAAGTTCACTCTTAGTTTAATACAAGTGATTAGATAAATAAGCATAATAAAAGCATCAGAACCATGCCGGCCGCGGTCACTTTAATGCCCCACTCCATATTATCTCATAGACAACTAATTTACATATGTACTGAGACCATATTAAAGACTGATTTCTCACTGTTTCACTTCAGACACTGTAATCATTTGATTCTATGTATTCTGAATAATTTAGGCTAAGTAATATCATCATTTGACTTAACCAACCATTTACCGCTTTGATTTGTTCTTTTGATATATAAATGCACTAAGTTGGGTGCCATGCGAATCGACACACTGATAAATTATAACATTAAAATTACATCAACAAGTCTATTCGATAAAGAATTCAGTCTAAGTATCATCATGTACCATAAAAATAACCACATCGGAGAGGGATTTTGAATAAATCTAACTTTACTCAGCCAACTTAATTTAAAATAGTATTAATGTCATTTGAAACAAAATATATTCTTCAAATTATATTTATATTTTCTATGGCTTTATGATGAAGGCAACATTGCATTCAACTATCCCTATTCTTGATGTGATGCTAATAGAAAAAGGGTGATGGAACTCTTGGGGCATGGTAAAGAAGAATGAAGTGTTTCCATAGCTTTAGCCTACATCAGCAGAAAAGGAAAATAGAACTTTTCTCCTTCTTTGTTAGCCAAGAAAGATTGTAAGAATTTCTGCAGTTTCGGAGATGAAAATAAAACTTGCGAGATAGTCCCATAAAAAAAAACTAGACACTTCAGTAGATTTATGCATTAAGGCATTGACCAAAAATGATTAGACATAGTGCGTCGGTGGCACAGTGGTTAGGACTCCTGCCGACCATGCACATGGTCCGAGGTTCGATCCCCTGCCGACGCACACCTGATATCTATGGTCGGCCTGAAAAATTTGAGCTACCGATATCCATGCTGAAAATTCCAAACTAGTACCAAAAATACAGTGTGGAATCAAACTGTAATATAAAAAAAGATATATAGTGCCTTAGCGGTGCAGATATAGAATGCTCGCCAGCTACTCAGGTGGTTGGGGTTCGATCCTCGGACAACTCACTCCTAAACCTTGTTTAGCTGGTAAAAAGCCCGGATAAGAAGAAAAGTTGGGAGTGAGACTAGTAATAAAATAAAACCACTGCTACCGAAACTTCAAAGTTCTAACCTGAAGCTCTATAATTCACTGGGAACGCAAAGGGATAAAAAGAAAATAATAACAAGCATATAGTTTGTAGATAAAAAGAAGACAACCAAGAATGTCAAACTCTACAGCAGCAGCAACAGATGAGATCCTTAAGTGTGAAGTAACTCTGACGATTCTTGCTACCAGTCGTTGAGTGGTAAATACATAAACAAGAAAATAAATTTCACTTTTATCCACTTCTATTCACAAAAAACAAGCAAAGAGAGAAATGGAATATTTGTGACTTAGTTTTTGACGGAATTCCTATTCTAATACTCCACCTTGTATAGTAGTCCTATAAAACTATATTCTATGGTGTCTTAAAATCCTTATTTATTACATTACATATCTGTAATCTAAAAGAAAAGTGTTTCACATCAAATGCAAGAGATGTATGTGGTAAACTCTATCCAGAAAATAAAGGCGTGGAACAAGCGAAATGGCCTCCCAGCGTTTACATCCCTTCTATCTAGCCAGGAAGCACTATTAGTTTATGCGATTGGAATCCAACTTCGCAGATCCTTCAGTAGTGTATACTCACATAATTTTGTGCTAATTTGTTCTATTGCAGCTTCTGGCACTAAGCAGATCACATATTGTGATTTGAATAATTTCATTTTCTCTAGGGAACTGTGGTAAACTTCACCTCTTCAAATTGTGTAATTTACAAATTGTGAATTTGAATTTCAATTCTGAAATTATTTTTTCACAAAGTACTCTGGTGGTTTCAAGAATTTCTAGCCTTGGAATTGACACGTATGCTTTGTTTCATACGCATATATATACGAATATATAAATTCTGATTGGCTATAGGATTTCATGACATCGGTTAGAGAACCATTGGAAAACATGGGAATACTGGACAACTGTTTCGTCCGTCCTTGTTTGAGACTCATATTTAGTACGCACCAACAATGTGGGTTTCGAACCCAGGACCTTCTGGTTGTCGGTTGATTACACAACATATACGGGTGCTTATCACGATTCATTTTATTTCACTATTTAGATTTCGTCACGAACTACCATCATTTAGAAAATCAGTGATCCCTCTCAGTATAGAGAGCAGATGTCGAGTGTTCCCTAGTCTTCTGTGATCTTTCTAACTGACTCTGTCTCATGATGAAATCTAAAAAGTAAAATTCAATTTTTCCCAATCCCTTAAACCCCATAATCCATATATATATTGATTCAGATAGTCAACTTACATAAAGAACATAAACAAGATGGCAGGAAATAGATAACTAGTTCAACGTGAAATTTTACAAAATGGTAAACATGCGAGTAAACGTATACAGTCAAGTTGTTGTAGTAGAAGTAACAGCATCTATCTCTCTATCTATCTACAGATAGTAGCAAACACCGAATTGTCACTCAGTCGAACGGGAGAAGTGTATTAAACCCCACTAAACCAAGATTAATCTCAGTTATATACCTTTTAGTACTAAAATAAGATAAAAAAGAGAAAAAGCAATAGGAGTACCAGAATTAAATAGAGGTGGGGTGATTGCCACTAAAAGAGGTATGGACTGACTACTGTTCTATTTCTACACAAGGTTTCCTAGTTGTTCAATAGATCCACTTTGCCACTCATTGTGAAGGCTACAAGGCTATCTACGAGAGAGAAATCTCAGTGAATGACAAGTTACTGAAGTTCTTGAGACTCATCTGTTAACAGACATCTATCGCATATACCTAATATACTGGTAGTATATAGAAGCATGTATGGATCGGTATAGATGAGAATCCGCGATAATTAGGGTCAATGAATTGATGATGTCTGATGGTTGGAGTTACGCCTTGCTGACTGGTGGATGCCAACTAACACAAAATCTGAGTCAAGCAAGACTTCCTGCTGATTGCCTCAACCATCTAATATCATCAAACCAATGTGCACCGTGATGCCAAGCCACCTAGAATGATGGTCACAATGCAAACCTGACTGATAGAATTCACTCTACACTAAACAAAGGACTAGACACGCTACACTGGTCACTGACTAGCGTCCAATCCAAAGGTTAATGGATAACAAATTAATTACTTTGAGATTTCGAAAATGATTTCAT